CTAGAGTATGAGAAAATAAGGCTGGCGGTCGACCGCGAATGTCTCTGGATGTTCTCTCGGTCGACCGTCACGGTCGACCGCGAGTACAAAAAGGCTATGCTAAGGAAAGATATAATTGGCGGTCGACCGACCCGGTCGACCGGAAACTGATATGATTCATATGATAGGTTTTTAGCCAATTTTGAAAATACATTAAAAATATCAAATCAATTCCAAAAATAGTAAAATTTTGGGGAAAGTTTCTAAATGATGAAATAAACATGTTTAAAAAAGAATTTTTGGAAAATCAATTTTTGTTTGTGAAAACTCCCTGTTTTTGAAAAGTATTCAGAAAACCTGTTTTTCGTGAACATGAAAATTAACATAAGGCTTGTAGATATGCGTATATATATTATGCATGTATTATATGTATATAATGAATTATGAAAGAGCTGTAAACATGAGATAAAAGATATTATAACAACGTTTGATGAAAAATCATTTATATGATAGAAAACGTCAAAAATCGTGTTGAGTGTACATATATTGAGCTTAGATATAATTGTTGTGCCTCGAGAATCCAAACCAATCACCGAGAAAAGATAAACCAACACACCAAATCAATAGTACAAATAATCAAACACCAGTTTTACGTGGTTCGGCAAGATGCTTACGTCCACGGGGCAAGGAGGGGGGAGTTTTCACTATTAGAAATCAAGAGGAACAAACTGGGGTTACAATCTCTCACCAAAAACCCACAACAACTCACTCTTGATCTCTCCAAATGCTCCTAGAATAGAAGCCCAAAGAAAACCACTTTCAACAGCTCAAAACCCTTGCCTTACCAACCCTAAAATCGTGTTTGGGTATTTATAGAAAACCCAAACGAAACGGGTCTGGAAAACAGACCCAGACTCAACCCGCTTTGGCGGTCGACCGGACCGGTCGACCGCGATCCATCGCGGTCGACCGACCCGGCCCTCCATCCAGAACAGCTCCAAGAATCCAGAGAGTGCGTCGGTCGACCGCGTCGGTCGACCGCTACCATCTTCGGTCGACCGGTCCGGTCCCCCCCCACCAATCCTGAAGCACAGTAAGTGACGTGCACGAAAGCGGTCGACCGGACCAGTCGACCGCTACACTGTCAACCTGAATCCTGAGCTAGAAATCCACTTCTGCTGCCAATTCTACAAATCTCCACCTCGGCGAAGATTCTACCAAACTGAGCCGACACCGCTCAAACCAATGCCTCAACTGCTGCATCTAGTACGCCATGGCAACAGACTCATGACAACGAACTCCATCCACAGCACGTCGAGACCCAACCGGGAGTGCGAACACTCAACCCCAAACCAACTGTGTCTACTCACCAAATTGGCTGCATCAGAAAACTGACTGCCTACGTATCCTCTCCAAGGAATCAAGCCTTCATGTAGTTCACCCAATGGCCTCCAAAGACCCTCAATCCAACCTGCGGCTGATAACATCATAAACGACCCCAATCTGAAAACAGTCCAACACCTCCACCTGAGATGAAACAATGGCCGTATCCAACATATATTCATCAGCTGCATCCATATCAACTACCTCATCATCTGCACCCATAAATAAATGACTCCCACGCTGTGCCACCTCAGCTGGAATCCCAACCAATGCAGAATGACCTGGAGTATGTGGGGAAATCCCCACCCAATGTGGAGTAGCATCAATCTCCACCCGCTGCGATATCCCTCTGACCTGATCAATACTCTCCACCTGTCGAGAGTCCAAAGTGACAAACCTATTCAGACCAAACTCAGAAGCTCCCAACTGATAGCCGAATGAACTCCTGAATCCCAAATGTGCAATCAGATCCAATCTCACATCCACGATGTGACCAAGTGCTGGGTAGCCAAATATCCGACGCCGAACAAAATCTGAAGCAGCTCCACCAGATCTAACAACTCTACACGCAGCAGTCGACAACCTCATAAGATAGCCCAATCGTGTCGAAGCCCGAATACCAGATCCACTGCTTGACAACCAACGCCGATCTTCCTCCAGAAAAGAACGGCCCACTAAATCTGCCATCTCATCACGTCGCCCCACTATCTCCTCTCCTCTGAAGTGTCTCCAAATGCCATGAGCTCGGTACCAATGCAAGAAAGGACTCCTACTAGAACAAGTACGACTGGTAACCTTTCTGCCCATACACCTCCTCCAACTATTGCGGACTACTAGGTCTTTATACCAAAGGGACTTGGTTCCAACCCATATATGCCTAGTACAATCCCCAACATAAGAAACAAAAATATCGATTACCTCCCACTGATGCCTCCATGGAAGGCCCCCTAATGCCTGACTGAACACCTCCAATAAGACCCCTCGATCGGTGGATAGAAGTGCTGAACTCCACCTCGGTCTTCTCGCTCATCCCACTGTGCTCACAGGACTTCAATCTGTAGGTCATAGCACTCCTCAACAATCTGTGCACGGTATAACCAACAATATATCCTAGCACCAAACAATGCCACAGTCTAGCCATAGAAGTAGTCAGCGCCCTATCAACTACCGTGCTCCCAAGTAGATAATACAAGTTACTCCGCCTGACTCCCTTCATCACAATCATGGACCCCGATGTGACCTTCAAGCGAGAATCCGCCAAAGTCACCCTATAGCCTACTGCCTCCAATACCCCAAGTGAAATAATGTTCTTCCTCAGTTGAGGAACGAACCTCACATCAGCCAACTCCCGGATCATCCTGTCACTCATCCGAATCCGAACAGTACCAATACCACCAATAGGGCATCTGTGATCATTACCCATGAGAACAGCATCCCCTCTTTCCAACTCCTTAAAGCTGGAGAACCAATCCCTTCTAGGGCATATGTGGTAAGTGGCACCAGAATCCAACATCCACTCGGTGGAGTCTGCGACATCAACTGATGGAAGAGCTGGGCACGAATAGCCCGAAGAATCTGAATCTGAAACATCACCACTAGCCTTGGCAACATTTACCTCTGAAGCTTGAATAGCTTTTCTTTTATTCTTCACGGCTTGCAATTTTGGGCATTCGGCTTTCCAATGTCCATCCTCTCTACAAAAGACATACTGATTCCTACCAACTGCAGGATGCCCCCCTCTAGACTGCGATCTTCTCCCATGATTTGGACTTTTAGCTCTTGCAACCAATGCCCCCGCAACCGGCTCGAAGGAAGTCTCTTTGTCCTTCTTTCGAAGTTGATAGTTCACAATGGCTGCGGTGACCTCACTATACGAAAGAGATGCCTTCCCATTAATAAGAGTGAGGACGAAGGTCTTATATTCCTCGTCGGGTAAGGAACTCAATAACAATAATGATTTATCCTCATCTTTAACAATGACATCTACGTTCGCCAAATCTGTAAGTAGCTTCGTGTAGTGGTTCATGTGATCACTAATGGATGTCCCCTTCTTCAATTGGAAGCGATAAAGCCTCCTCTTCAAATGCAAATGATTTTCGACGTTCTTTGTTAAATATTTGCCCTCTAGGACCTCCCAGATCTTCTTTGCCGAAGTTTCATTCATCACATCATATTTTAGATCTTGGGTAAGGCAAGACCTATTCATCTTATTCCAAACCTTTTCATCAATGTTGTCCGGTTTCCTGTCCAACTCCAATGTATCTTCCAAATTTTGCGCATTTAGCGCATCCATGACTTCACATCTCCAAAGTCCAAAATTATTTGTGCCGTTGAACTTTTCCACATCTATTTTCATAGAATGTATATTCAAACTTTGGATGGCCCTCACACTAGAAGAACCCTCCCCATGTTTATCCTTTCCGGCCATAATCTTAAAGCACCCAAACAATTGCGAAACAAACAAGAAAATAGATCCAACTTGAAAAAGATAGAAACTTTACCACAAAGATCCCACCTTTATCACCAATCGAAGTTCTAGATGAACTTTCCAACTGATCTATACCTCCAAAAAGCCCAAGCGTTGCCCGGAGCTCTGATACCACTTGTTGTGCCTCGAGAATCCAAACCAATCGCCGAGAAAAGATAAACCAACACACCAAATCAATAGCACAAACAATCAAACACCAGTTTTACGTGGTTCGGCAAGATGCCTACGTCCACAGGGCAAGGAGGGGGGAGTTTTCACTATTAGAAATCAAGAGGAACAAAATAGGGTTACAATCTCTCACCAAAAACCCACAACAACTCACTCTTGATCTCTCCAAATGCTCCTAGAATAGAAGCCCAAAGAAAACCCCTTTAATAACCTCAAAACCTCCTGTTTGCTCAAACCCTAGAAATCAGATCTATGTATTTAGCGTCGGTCGACCGCGTCGGTCGACCGCTACCATCTTCGGTCGACCGGTCCGGTCGACCGCCACCAATCCTGAAGCACAGTAAGTGACGTGCACGAAAGCGGTCGACCGGACCGGTCGACCGCCACACTATCAACCTGAATCCTGAGCTAGAAATCCACTTCTGCTGCCAATTCTACAATAATCATACAATTTATGTAAGTGAACTAAATATATACCTAAGTAAATCGACACATATGAACTTGAATCTTTAACGCTTGATTGACGTGTATTGAAATACCTGTAAAGAAAAACATAAACACAAAACTAGAGAATATATTAGCTATAAATTGTTTGACAAATCATCATCAAAATTATGGGGTCAACACAAGATCCCGTCCTCCGATTCCACCTCCCTCCTCCTTCACCGCGATCGGATC